AAATTTTGATGTGAAGTCTAGCTAATACTTGGTTCAAGTAATATTTTTTTTAGTTAATTCTAATTTAGTTGACACCATCCTTGTGTCTTGTTATATAGTTTATGGATAGACCCTTTTAAATATTTACATTATCAGAGGATTATGGCTTCATTACCAAGATGATCAGATACTTAATCACGAAGTACTACTGCATGCTTAAAAGGTGAGAAGCAATGCTTAGAAACTAGAAACTAGAAACTTTTTCATCTTTCTATTTTCAATTAATATATCTTGAGCTTCCATCCCTACTTTTCACTTGCAACCCATTAATCATACAAGAAGCAACAAGGAAGCAGGTAAGTGATTAATTAAAATGTAAAACATTCTCAGCCAATCTATGTACAATATATAAAGATGAAGTTATTCTTAATGTTATCTCGGGATTGCTACCATGAGTTTGATCCTTGATCATACTCTTTCTTTGTACTTGTCTACATATAAAAACAGTAGAATAAAATCATAACCATGTGTTGAGCACCTACCTCCATTCTGTTATTATCACACCCAACACCCATGACCCATGTGTGAAGATCCCTCTCAGGATTTATTTTGTGTGCTTTATTGTGGACAACAAGTAAGCTTCAAACACACCTATTAAGTCTTTTGTTTTGAAGTAGAACAAAATGGAAGAAAATTTTCTTCAGTTTGAATTATATATTTGAGCTTTACTTTTTGCCCGGAAATAATAGCAGAAGATCTTCAGTTTGGGAAGTCATACTTCAAAGGAAAATTTTACAGAACAAAAGGTGGTGAATTCAAATGGTCATTACCCACCTCTTGTTGGTCATCACTTGCTTGCAACAAGGAAATGCAGTTAGAAGATCTTCTCCTATTTGGGTATATTGTGGGGGATTTGGAACTGTTCAACTGTAAAATATGCATGCTGAATGGGAATTGGGAAACACAACCCTTATATGGTCAGTGGGCCCAATCGCACAAATTGAAGTTGGCCCACTCCGGAAGTGGGTCCCACACCAGATAATTGGGTGGGCCCAGCCACATAGCTTCCAACTTTAATGACATCAATTGACATGGAGAAGTGGACCACAGTACCACACCCACATCCACATTGAATGGGAGACCCACTCTACAACTTCAGAATCAGTGAAACTTTTCCAATTTCTATAACACCCATCTACATAGTAAGGCGTCCCCTGTGCTATATATTGAAGTGGGCTCCGCTCCACTTGTTTTTTATTTTTGAAAAAATAAAATTAAATTAAAGTTTTCTTGACAGAAAATAAATAAATAAAAATAAATGAACCCCCACTTTTGAGTTTTGATGGCATCGATCAACTATAATTACTTTCAATTTTAAAGAAGCCCATGCAAATGTTTAAAGTGGGCCCTACTTGTCATGGGAAATAGTAATTGAAACTGGAAATACACCCTTCTTTTTCAACCTTCATTGGGAATAGACCTGTTCATGGGCCGGGTGGCCCGACGGGCCGGCCCGACCCGATCCTCGGACAGACTTAAACGTGGTTATAGGTTTATGGGCTTAAATTCGGGTCAAAAAGCTCAGCCCGCAATAAATTCGAGCCGGTCTTAGGTTTTGTCAAAATAGCCCGGCCCGAACCCGGCCCGTCCTTAAAGTGAGTAATGTGATTATGTCCATTTGAATAATTTTTTTGATTTAAGAATGTAAAACTGTGTTTTAAAATATAAAAGAAAGGGAAAAAAACCATCTTGTAGGGCCATTGTTCATTTGAATAGGAAAAAAAACTATCTGAATTTTTAATTTTAATTTGAATAGGGAAATTTGTTTTTTTTTTATTAGGTCGGGCTTCGAGCTTTTTATCAAGGCTGGGCTCGGGCCCAAGTTATAGGCCCGTTGGTTGGGCCGGGCTCGGGCTTGGGCCTAGCATATTTCCCTTAATGACAAGTGAAAGCTCGGCTCGAGCCCGGCCTGGCCCGGCCCATGAACAGGTCTAATTGAGATTAACTCCCCCACACAGGTACACAGTAAAGGTTGCTCGATGACTGAAGCCGAACTCCTTTTTTTTTTGGTATATGAAAACACCCAATTCACTTTCAATTTCATGAAATGCATTTTACAAAAAGAAATTATGTGTTTGATTCCGTTTATTTATTGAATAAATGTTTGTACTTTATTTGCTGATAAAATTGAGAAATGCAATAATTACAATTGGGTGTCACTAGGCATGTCTTGCCATTTATGGAGAGCAAGAGAGAGAAAATGTCTATGTGGCACTACCAATAAACGTTGTAATGTTGTCATTTACTAGCTTTCTTTATAAATTAGAGAATGACCCCCGTTAAGTACGTGGTACCTAAATATGTGTATAATTTAGTTTGAAGATATTAAATGAGATATATTTTGACCTATTTTATTTGAAATCCACTATTAATTTATGCTTTTTATTTTAATTTGATTTAAGATATTAAATGAGATCTTATTGGTAAACAATAACCCACTTTATTTGGTATTTACTTTTTATCTAATAAATCTATTTTGTGTTATTTAGTTTTAAAAGTTAAATTATGTTGCTTCCTAAAAGTTAGATCAAGTTTGTAATTAATAAAGTATTTTTCTTTTTGAAAAAAAAATCATTTAGGCCTTGTTCACATTTCGATAAATTACTTACTTGGGTAAATGCACTTACACAGGTAATTGTTTCCCATTAAAGATTTACCTAGGTAAGTGCATTTACTCATGTTCTTTTATTTTCAATGTAAATAAGGCAATGACCATTTTATCCATAAAAATCCATTATTACAAGGGGTATTTTTGCCCCTTTCAAGTGTTGACAATTTTTCCCCAAGGTGGGAAAGTTATTTACCCACGTAGGAGATGGGTAGGGTAAGTGATACACAGGAAAATAAATTTTCCCTGATCCCCACATAAATCTAAAAAAGAAAACATGGGATTTTTGGTCTATGGGAGGTTTTATGGTAATCTTTTAATGGATCCCGCCATTTATATTTAATAGACTATGGATAAACATGTGTTAAGCTAATAAATAACTATCTATTGAGAATGTTTAGGAGTTAAGCTACCCATTTTTTGAATCCTATTTCTTGAATTAATAGGATGCCATGTGTTTGAATGGTGGTAGTGGGTTGTGAGCTTTAATATCAACTTCTGAGAAAATGACACGTGTCTAGATTTCTAGAAAAAATGAGAATGCCACATGTCTGAATGGTGGGGGGCTGTAGCTTGGTAGTGGGCAATGGGCTTTAGCAGGAATTTCTCATAAATTGTCGGATGTCTAATTTTCCAAAAAGTGAGAATGCCACTTGTCTGAATGGTAGTAGTAGGTTGTGGGTTTTAATAGCAACTTCTCAGAAAATAATATATATTTAAATTTTAAAAAAATGAAAATGACACGTGTCTGAATGATGGAGACTATAACCTGAACACGTTTCATGTTAATATATATGAAGGCGTTTCACATGTTAATGATAGAAGCTGTAACCTATATATGCAGGCGTTTAACATGTTAATATAGATCAAAAGTAGATAATTAAAGTACATGTAAACTTGCATGAATCATACAATCAATGCACAGAACAGCCTCTATTGCATTGTGTAGTTTCCAAGAAAATGTCATAAAAAAAAGGATAGATATGGGCCATATGGTTCTTAACACCCTTTTTTTCAGAGCCATGAAGTCAATGCGCAAAAGGGGTATTAATGATGCGTGCAACCATGCCACTATTGTTCAGTTCTGAGATCTTTATTAAGGTTTTATGAGGCCGAGTTGTTGGTGGGTGGATGAGATCCAAGGTTGTTTGACACTTTAAGGTCAGGTTTTCCTCTTCAAAAAGTTAATACCAAGAACCAACACATGAGAGCTTTGATTGCTACTGCTAGTTGAGGCGAGAGAAGGTCAAAGACAGAAGAGAGAAAAATGACTCTTCTTTTGCCTTCCTCTATAACAAAACAAATAAAAAGATCATGTCCCAGGGAATACATTTTTATCATATGTTCTCTCAACTTGGTAAAACCCTATTTTAATAGTAAAATGGATTTATCACTTCATTATTGAATTTCAGTTTTCTAAGTAGAAATATAGAGGATAATGCTTGTAAGTAAGGTTTTAAAAACCAGATTCGACACAGAATTGTTTTGGCCACCGGTTCTCATGTCAAATGGTTCGATCATCCGGTTCAAATAGATGGCCTGTTCTGATTAAAAAAAATTAAAATAAAAATAGTCAAAAACCATTATTCGAGTCAATGGTTCAATTGCCCAAGTCAACGGGCTGCAAATCAAGTCAACGATTTTTGGCCCAAAAATGGTTTTTAGGGCGAAACAGAACCAATTGCCCAACTGGTTCCTAGGTCAATTGGTCTAACCACCCGGCCTGATCCATATTTCAAAACCATGCTTGTAACTAAATGATGAAATGGCGATTTTCTATTGTTTCATTTTCATCCTGCCCTTGTTGCCTTGTTGGCTAACCTGGCCTACAGTTGGGGGCCAACTGGGATTGTCCCTGTCCAGCCAAAAGCCTTACGTGCTTGGTTCGACCCAGCCAGGGCCGACAAGGTGCCTCCTTCAGTTCCCAACACAACAAAATGGTTTACATATTCTAAGTTGACCTTCTTGAAATCATCTCAGCACCGATGAATAAAAACGGTTTACAGTAGAGGAATAAGCAAAACTTTTTGCTTTCTGGTTTGATTTGTGGGGCCGGACCCACCACCATCTGAAAACAAGAACCTTATTCCTTACTCCAACTGGGGTTGCGACATGGTTGGGCCCCCAGTATAAGATCCAACGAAGCAAGGCCATATGGGTTGTTCTGTCACCGAAAATGAACCGCCGTTTGTTTTATAGGAAAATATGGACCCAATTATGTTCGTTTCTGAAGATTACCAGGCCAGGCAAACCATTTCATTTATTACTTGTCTTTCGGGTTTGCATTTCTTATTCAAGAAAATTGAAGTTGTAGACTGAATCTTTTGTGTTTTATTCTTTTGATGTGCAAAAATTATTTCTTTGAAGTTTGAACTGGTAAACATGCCTATGATGAGTTCCATCCAATCCTCATAGAGACGGAGTAGCGAACGCTGCTGAAGTAGATCCAGGCTGAAACCAGAAGGTACAGAAATAGATGTTAATCCCTGATCCTCCTCTTCTTTTACACTTTGAATCATTTCCAATGGTGAAACTAGGGCCCATTTAGTTCACGGGAATAGGGGTTTTGAGTCGGAAATCGGAATGGGAATTGGAATGGCCCATATGTTTGGTTGGGTAGAATCGGAATTCCATTCTCATAATCTCATGTCTAGTAGAATGACATTCTTCATTTGAAGGAATGACCATGCCCTCCTTCTCCTTTAGGAATGAGATTCCACTTCTGATTTACTAAATAGGCTAAGAAATAAATCATTCTGATTCCAATTCTAATTCCAACCATGAATGGATTGGGTCCAAATTCCAACCCTTTCGTTTTTTCGTCTCCATGGGCTACACAACGGGGGTAATCCATCCCCCAAGCCCATAACCTCAGCAGAGGCCTTACCAAGTACCAACCAGCCAGAAATATGAACATCTTACCACACATTCATGTATATCATCACGCCCACACAGTAGCTCCCCGTTGAGGGTATCTATGGCCTGAAATGCTCCACCCCCATCACTCCTCTGCATTGAAAATTAAGAAATTATGGATACTCTTCTGAGACATTTCAAAATAAGCTATCCATTTGGACGATTCATCCTATCTGATCAGTTGGGTGATCCAAAGTATCTAATCAAAGAATCAATTGGCCAAAAAAAAAAAAAAAAACAAGACAAATGGGATGATCCGATCAATTCCTTGTGATGGTTTGATCAGAAAAACAAGTTCTACACTGGATCATTTTATTTGGTTAAGTATGACCTAAGGGCTTTTCCTATGTTTACCCTGTTTGGTGTTTGTTTCAGAGTAAAGAAGAGGAATGGATTGTGATGATGATGATGATGATGATATTGCCATTAGATTAATCCATTGTAGGGCATGTAGTATTAAGTATATACCTTGTAATAATCAACAGCAACAAAATTAGCCCATCGGTTGCCGGCTGCACTATAACATGTACGAAGCATGTTGATGAGATCTCCAGAATTGTGCTTACATGCAGTTTGCTTGATTGGAACTGATTCAAAGTAATTCACCAAAACCAGAGATCTGGTCTTGTCACCAAGTGGAGACGATTCGCCACGATTGGGGCAACTTCCTGAATGCATTCCACCTTTTCCATCTGCAAAACTAATTTCCTTTGATATTAAAACATGACCCAAAAAAAAAAATAAAAAAGAATGAAACACAATATGAGTTAGTTCAGAGAAGATGGGAATGCTTTTGTAGCTTACATTGATTTTCTACCATGTAATTCCATTGATATGCTATTCCTTCAGTTTCTTGCTTGGACTTCATTGATGTAAAGACAATAAGCCTCTGATTATTAGCGACCATGTCTCTAACTAGAGGCCAATCTCGGCCATTCTGAGGCATTTTTGACAATGGAAACCAGTACTTCATCAAACCAGCATCAGTGAAGACTTTTGTCAATCCATTTGGAGCCTCAACATAGTCTTCTAAGATTAATGTGATAATCTCTGATGGGTTTGCAGCCAAGAAGGCTTCTATTTCTCTCAGGGTATCTAGAGCTGGTCCCTTGCAAATAATATGTAATTATTTATGTTAATAACAAAGAAAATAATACTGCATGTTGTCAGTAGAGAAAAATAAAGGTGGAAAGAAGAAATGCTTACAAATGCAGTTAAGTTATAGCACCGTCCTCCAAAGGAATGACACAACCATACATCTCCTTCAAAATCATATGTATCCAACATTAAGGCTCTAACTCCATTCTGCAGATGAATTGTAATTAATTAGCTAAAATAGACTAATAAGTTAACAAATACAGTGTCATGGAAAGGTTATTACTTGTTAGAGATAATCTTACATTTAGTTGTTGAGTGATACTATCTTCTTGATTTGTGAAGGTAAGTCGAGGAAGCCCAGTATGAGATGGTTCTCCATCAATGGCGTAAGCATTATGGGTTGTCAAGAATGCATATTTATTGAAAGGTAAAGAATTATTCTGTTGGAAAAAGAAGATTCATGAAACTTTCCGCAGTAATTAAAATGCATGTTAGCTAGAAAAAAAACCTTGATTCAGTTTCTTTGCTAAAATATTAATGATTCATAACAGAAGATGAAGTTTGGATAGCAGACTTTTGTAAATAAAGCTTACATTGCACATTTACAATTAATAGGCGCAAGAGAGCTATTTGTGGTCTAGGGCCCTCATAAGTCATAACTCATCATATGGCAGTACTTGAAAAATCAGAAGTTCAGAACCAGTATTTTCTCTTTGTTATGGGTAATTTAAAGTTTTAAACTACTCTAATGGTGTTGATTTGTTAGTTGTGGTCATAGGAGACACCTTTAGATTGGAACCAACCAACTGATCATGCATTTACTAGAAAGTGCTAAAGTAATCTCTTGATGATGGCAATTTGTATTGGGAGATGTTCCCAATACACGGCGGGGATGTGCTGTGGGACGTTAGACAAAACCATGGACAATGGGATGGGTAACCTTTCACGAGTGAACACGCCCATGTTGGACCCACACCTTATGCCTACAGAACACTGGTGTGTTCACTTGTGATAGGTTGCCCAGTTTGCTGGGTATGATTTTGTTTCCTGCCAACCCAAACCGACTCCTATTGATGCTCGAAGGGTATGATACTAGAAGAATTTTGACCAATCAGAATACCTGATGAACTTTGATGAATACCAGCTGATTGGTTATCACTTTTATGATACTCCTTTTTAGGTGTTATATCATATTCAGACTCTCCGTTGACCTGTGGATTGGCAAAAGAAGAGGAATTTGGAGAAATTAATAAGAAAGGAATAGGGGTTCACCTGTTAAACTGTCTTTGTCTTTTCTTGTAAGTACCAAGAGAGCCTCTAGCAATTAGGGGTGCCAGTGGAGACAGGTTAGGTTGGGTTGAGATGAATGCCAGCCGATTCTGGGTTGTTAAACCCCAACTCTGACCCTAATCCAACGACCTAACTTGATAGCATCGGTATCAGGCTAAGGCTGGGTTGGGCTCATTTTCTTGACAAGTATGGTGCTTTGGGGGTTACATGACACTTAAAATTACTAGTAAATGGGTACATGAGTTGCATGTAGAATTTTCAAATTATCAAAGCAATTACATATCATACTTATATTTTTGTTTAGTGTGATGAATATATAATGTTAAAGATATGTTCAATTTTTTTTTTTATTTCTTGTATTTTTATATTTTATCTACATCTATTTTTAAATTTTTTTTATTTAATTATGATACCATTGGTTAACTCATTTGACCTAAATGATTGAATTGCTTTCCCTTATAGGAAGGAAATGGCTTTTTAGATAATTACTTTTCAAAATATTGATTTTTATACTATTAAAATTAATGTTATAGAACTTAATGATGAGAAACAAATATACCTTAAATATAGGATTTAATGAGAGAATGAGAGTTAATACCTTATATATGAGATTTTATGAGAGAGAATCGGAAAATGGTTTCATTTGTAGTTGGTTTTAAATTTTATATTCCATTTCCATCATTAATAAAAATGTTTTTTATTTATCAAAGATGACCCAAAGATTTCTATACATTTTTTATATTCTATATTTTATTTATTTTTATATTTTTATTGCTTAAAAATATACATTATTATATTATTAATTTTTATTGTAAATAAATATATATTTATATTTATATTTGAGATATGAAAATTTTTGTACAATTGTTTTGTATTTTCTATAATTTTTATTTCTATCTACTTTTTGAGTTTTTATTGTATAATTATGATATCATGGGTTAACCCATTTGTTTTGAAAGAAATGAAATGATTTTCTTTTTAGGTGGCTCTAAATTTTCCTTTCCATTTTATCATTAATTACAGAATAATTTCTTGTTTATCATACTTATCTTTGTTTAATATGGTAAATGTATACTTTTTTTAGATGTGTCAATTGTAGTTTGTTATTTCAATTTATTTTTAACTTTTATTATTTAATGATGACATCATTGGTTTACCCATTTTGCCCAAATGGTTGGACCACTAACCTTCCACTTAGATGGAAAAATCAATTTTGTATGTTTTTGAGTTGGTTTTATTTTTTTATTCCAACTTATTCATTTATAAAAATAATTCTTATATATAACACTTATTTTTTGTTTAATATGATAAATACATAATATTAGAGAAGTGCCCAAATGTTTTCTATAAAACTTTTGTATTATTTAATAATTTTTTTGTTTCTATATTTTTAAAATTTTTATTATTTTATTATGAAATCATGGATTGACCCATTTAACATAAAGGTCAAACCATTAACCTACACTTAAATAGGAAAATAGTGTAGTTTTTAGGTCGATTTTAAATTTTGTATTTCATTTCATCCATTAATAAAAATACTTATTATTTATCATATTTTTGTTTAATATGGTCATTATATAATATGGATTTTTATTGATTCCCACACCTCATAAATTTTACTGATTTGTATAATTAAGAATTATAGCAAGTAGAGAAATCTATCAAAATACAAGGGGTACTCTATCATAGGTGGGGGTTTTGGTAAATATAAATATTTACGAGGTGAGGTAAACCATAAATTTCCTATAATAATTTTAGATATGTACCCAAAATTTTCACAAAAAATTATTTATTTTTACATTTTTATATTTTATTCATTTTTTTTTAATTTTTATTGTTTAAGACATCATGGATTGACCCATTTTACTCAAATGGTTGAACCACTTACCATCCACTCAAATGAAAGGACAATTTCATTTTAAAGTTGATTTTAAACACATAGGTTTTATATTATTAAAATTTTTGGGTGTAAATTTAATTAGTATAATTTATTGGTGAGAAATAAAAATAATTAAAATACAGGACTTAATAAAAATGAATTGAATGGAGTGAAAAAGTAATAATTTCAGATAACATTTTGTATTTAAAGTGTGACTAAATTAAAAAATAAGGGTATTTTAGTCAAGAAAATGTTCATAAATCTCATTTATTTAATATCCCTTAAATATGGGATTTAATGAGAGAGAATAAGAGTAAATACCTTAAATATAGGACTAAATGAGAGGAAATTGAATGAACCGGAAAATAGTAGTATAGATATCGACTTATCTGCAAAGGTCTAGAATCTAGACCTCATTCCCATTTACAATAGTAATATAGATATAGACTTATATACACAAACATGACCTTTAGAAAAATGTAAATATGAATTGTGATGCTAGGTTTGTATTGGGTTGAATCTAGACCTCATTCCCATTTTAAGTCTCCAAACTTTTATTTGTGAAAGGAGAGTTTACTTATTTTATGAGATCATTTTGCCCTCTGGTATTGTATATTCAAAATCCAAGTTTTAAAAATTTTCCCATTTTCTTTTTTTTTTTCTTCTTCGTTTTTAATTTGTTGAAGAGAAAAACAAAGGAGAGAGAGAAGATGGTATGATAAATAGTTAAGTTGACAGGGAGAGAGAGAATACCAATAGCTTGAATTGGTCTGTAATGGTTGATCTAACGCATCTAGAACCAGAAAATCCCCGAGGACAGGAGAAGCAGTACAAGCCAGACATGCAATCTCTGTCAGAGGAGCAATCATCGAGGAGCTACATTTTGAGATATTTAATTAATCAAAACTGGAATATTCAAAATCATATAGTATCATCAAACCTCAACAAATTGATAATTGGTAACAACAGAATAAAGAGTAAGACAGCAGCCACTTACCCTGCATTCTCCATTTGAACAAGCAGAAGCAAAAGTAAACACAATTGAAACAATGATGAAGAGAGAGGTTCTCATCATAGGAGCCATTAGGGATTCTGAGATGAGATGAGAAGGAAAGGTGAGAGAGAAATAGAGAAGGTAATCCTACCATATATTCATTCAGTATATGGGTTTCTTCAAAATTCAAGTAAAGAGGGAGCAAAAACCAATAAGCGCTCTTTCTTGCTTAGCTGAGAAAACAAAGGCTGCATTACAAAACTTCCACGTTTGGGAAACAAATGCATAGAGACATTTTATTTTGAAAAAATTAAGAAGCATGAAAGGAGTTGTTGGTCCATCCACCCGAGGAAAAAGCCGAGTCGATAAGAAATAATGAAATATAATTATATGTTTTTTCTTTTTTTTTTTATAAATAATAATAATAATTAACTATATGATATTATTGATGAGGTCCATCAAGCACCATGCAGACTCTCCCTTCACCATACACGTTTCCTTCCATTAGATATGATGGAATGAAGCTTGACTTACATCAGAATCCATCAAACAGACACTACATATACATTGGCCTTTTACTCTATCAGGTCTTGGGTAGTTGGTTCATTATCAAATATCAACAACAACCACCGCTTTGCGCTTGCTATTACTTTCGTGTGTTGGGCATACGTATACGTTTTCACTTAGTACACGCATCGATTATGCTAAATGTAAATGGTCAACAAATGAATGAGCCAGAATTCTAGATGGACGGCTAATAATGCTTCTTGAGTCAACAACAGTCATGGAACTGGAAGGGTTGGACGCCTACCGCTTGATTATGAGGATGGGTCAACCAAGCCCCAAGGGCCCAAGGGATTGTGTACTGTGTACTGTGGATGGGGATAGGATACCCTACTTAACTGTCTCATTTCATCATGGGCTGGCTCCTCATAAATCATAACCACCAATGGGATCCTAATCAGGCCCATCCGACCCATTGCTACGAATTTTATCTTCGAGTCCACTAAAATTTTGAAACATCATTTCATGCTTAACTGTTCATCACTTACAACCGGTTGGAACTTAAATAATAATTGATAAAAGATATAATAAAAAAAAAATCTATATTCTGCAATCTGCAGAGCCCTGTGACTCAAACCTTCTCCCCCCCAACCAGTAACAACAACCCTTATTAATGATATTCAAACTGCAACAAAACCACATTAAAGTGTTCAAAGGTGAATGAAACCCCAAATTACAGAAGGAAGAAATTGAGAACAAAAAAGCTAATGAACCCGCTGATTTGTGTTCAAGAATCCTTTGTAAGACTGAAGATCTTAACTCTAACTCATTTTTGCAAAGTTGTCAACACCAACCAAGTTAATGAATTCACTGATTTCTGTCCGAAAATCCCTAATACCACTTTTTCGTATTAAAATCTGAAACCCAAGAATCCTTTAGAAATAGAAATTTTTGAGAGCCTATTATGAAAGAAAATCCTATGCATGACAACGTGACTGCTTGAGATATCTTTGGAGAATTGGAGCTATTGTTTTTATAAGGTTCGAGTATGAGAATATGAGGGTTTCCAACTTTCTGTCAATATTTAGTTAGATTTCTTTATAAAAATTTTAAATTTATCAATTTTTATCAATCATAACCCGCAGTAAAACTTCAGCCGGTTGCCGGTGATGACCAGTTTAGCATCGAAAGACGTGTCAAAATTTTAGTGGACTCGAAGAGAAAATCCCTTCGAGTCCAAACGCACTGAATCCGAACTGTGTCGCACAGCCCCAATCCTTTCTTATCTTATGAGTTATGGCCTATGGGCCTTGTTTTGGGACTGAAACGAGTTGAACTGAGTTAGATCCATTCCATTTTGAGTTTGACATTTCTTCTGCCGTACGCGCAGGCACATGCAGATGCAGGGATCTCTAGGTTCCTGGTTCGCCTGCTTTTGTGTTTTGACGAGGAAATGGGAATCTTTCACCTGAAACCCGACCCCACCCACCATATCGAGAGGTTAGTCATGTAGTGTCACCTTCTTAGGCCTTAGTTCTTAAAGGATGAATATGGTAGCTCACTGGTGGGTCCACGTTTTCATTAAGATCGCATGCACCCGTTGGATCGATGATTCTGATTTCTTGGAAGCATCATTGTTTGTAGAAATGATGTATGTTGGTGTATCTCCACATAAAGGAAAGGAGCTACCTTTCTCCCAAGAAAAAACAATCGAGGGAAATGAGTAGTAGGGTTGGGTTCTTCTGATCTTCTTCTCCCGCTCACGGTAAGTAACTGTTGGAGGGTACAATACAACCGCAACTCCACGACTGGGTGAGAGTCGATACCTTGGGAGTGGGAGAGATTCCACTCAGGAGGAGATCGGAGATTCTTTCTCCTTCCCTCCTTCCTTCCTCTCTCTCTCTCTCTCTCCATTTTCCTGTACTGAGCGGAAAATGCCAACCATCACTAGGATCTACACCCTGCAACAAGCTGCAGAGCATAACAAAAGAGACGATTGCTGGGTCGTCATCGATGGAAAGGTATACCCAACTCACCATAAATACCTCTCTCTCTCTCTCTCTCTCTCTGTCTCTCTCTGTGCGTGTGTATATGCTTACCGAAAGATGCTTGTGTATCGTTCTTGCTCTTCGTGAATAACATTTATGGATTTTTTTTTCTGATTTGGGTGTTTTGCCATGCAACTGATACATACATGATCCTGTAACCTCTTGAAATTCTAAATCGTTATTGGGGTCACTGCTTGGTTCACTGGGAGTATTTGCCCTGTGTGGATTCTTTCTCTCTTTTAATCTCTGTATATGGTTACTGTCATATTGTGGGTGAAATGTGATATTTACCCTTACTATGTTTTTTGGGGAAAAAGTTTAATTTTCATCCTATACAGCTTACTAGAACATTTCTTTTTAGGGAAAACTAGAGAATGACCCCGTACTAAGTACGGGGCTAGTATTTTTTGATAATTTTTATTTTGTTTAAGCAAAAAAATATCTAACTTTTTATTATTATTTCTTTATTTTTTAAAGATTATTTGTATTGTAATATTTAGTTAATTAATTATTGGTGTTGTTATTAAGTATTTAATTAGTGTTTTTATTATCATAATAATTATTATACTTAAAATCTTTACTGTAAAAATTTCTAGTCATGGGAATTTGTCTAACTTTGGAAAAAGAATGTTTATGAACATGTAGATGTGAAGCATCTGACATTTGTTTGGCCAAATGTGGAAAACAAAATGAAACTGTGTTTAGATTTTAAATTGGTTGGGTTAAGAACATCATCATGATATTCTAAGCCTTATCCTAACTATATGGTATTCCTGATTTTCCAAACCATTATGTTAGGGTCATGTCCATTGTTAAATTATGAGTGTTTAAATCCATTTCTTACTACTTGGCTCCTTGCCCGTTTTGTCCACCCTTAGCCCTTCTAGCCTTTTCAACTTGTAACAGATTGCTTCTTCTTACCAGTGCTATAGGTCCACGTGATCAGACCATCTTAGTGTACCTTCTCTCATTTTATCAGCTATTGGAGCTACTCCTAGGTTCCTATGAATCACTTCATTTCTGGCCCTACCCTTTCTAGTTTTTTCCACCCATCCATCTCAGCATTGGTTGGCTGAGGCACACAAAGGAAATATTGTTAGGAAAATGGAAATGATAAAATACTTTTAAGGATTTAGCTCAAACTTAATAGGGCTTTGACTAAAAAAGGCCATTACCCAATGTTCGTCGCAGCTATCTAGGGTCATGGGAGGGGTGAACTGGATATGGTCCTAACCTTTGGTTTATTATTATTATTTTTTTGTTCCACAGAGTGGCCTCTCTCAGACTCGAATCCATCTTCTCATGCTTGACAGCATAGTTTTCAAGGTGCCAAGGCAAGGCTGGGCGTTGGGGGGGGGCACCTTGTCGCCTAGTTCCCTAGGTACCATAGCCACATTTCCTTAATAATTATTCATAATTTTCATAAGAAAAGTATAGAGTTCATGTTAAAGTATAGAAAATCAACATATTCATGAGAAGAAAAAAAAAAGAAGGAAAAGAAAATTCAAAAAATATAGGGGCTGAACCCTTATTTTTGTTATAGTAGTAGTATATTTTCTTATTTTCCTAACAAATAAGAAAATAATAAAAGCAAATTAGTATATAAACACACAAAATGAATATTTTAGTTTAATAGTGCCTATTTTATAATTATAATGTCAAAAAATAAAGGATGAAAAAGTATTTTACAATACATAGTACAAAACTGCTTGGCGATTAGGCGAGGCGAGCCTCAAAGGGCGCCTTGTCGCGTAGGCGACACAAAATGAATATTTTAGTTTAACAGTGCCTATTTTATAATTATAATGTCAAAAAATAAAGAATGAAAAAGTATTTTACAATACATAGTACAAAACTGCTTGGCGATTAGGCAAGGTGAGCCTCAAAGGGTGCCTTGTTGCCTAGGCTTCACCTTGACAACTATGCTTGACAGCCCAAGATTTTTACCATTACACCAAGTAATTGCCCTTAATTACATTTTATGGCAATATCGTATTAAATATTAATATCCATCCTAAGTAATAGGTATACTAAGTAGGTGTTTGGCATCGCTGCTGGGAACACCACACCGTTTTCTCATAAAAACAGTTCTGGGCATGTGTGAGTCACTGAATTATAAGCACCATTTTATTCTTTGTTTGGAAGTGGTGCTGCTACATAGGTTGTTTTCTGGGAAAACAGCACTGGTTTTGTTTGGTACCAAGTGCTGTAGAACCGCTTTCAGCATTGGTCATATTATGCAACGTCCAAGATGATGCCACATCATTGCACCGCTAGCAGCAATGAGCTGTTTTCTGAGAAAACATCAAATTTGGTATTGCTTCAGACCACACTTTTCCGATTTGCAAGGCGTGGTTTGAAGCAACGTTTTTTATGGAAAAACAATACCAAATAAGAGGTCGTTTTCTGAAGCACCCACTAAAGGAGTGATTATTTAAATAAACATGAGTATATATTCCATCTTTGGTTTAGGATTGATGGTGAAACCTTTTCTCATTTTTCTTGAAAATGTTTAGACATTTTTAGAGTTTTATCTACTTGTTTCTTGTTTGCATAAAGTTTTTAATTTCATTTAAAATATTTTTAACAATCTTAATCAAGCTAAAATGTCATTGCAATCCATTTTATATAATTATAAGATAAAATGCTAGAAATTCCTTTTATTTTGTATTAGTATGTATATGGAAGCAAAATCTGTTGTGATAAATTGATGCCATCAATTAAGAGTTGTTTGGATAAGATATTTTTTTGAAAGTTAAGTAAAAAATATTATATTGCTGAGAGAGGGGAGATCCACCAGAGATCACAAAGACAGCCCCTTGGAGGAGAGAAAGCTGACAGTATAAGCTATTCATATCATATACAAAAAATGATCAAGCAAAAAGAGATCGGACAGGATTGTGAATGCCAATAATATGACCCCACTGATTATAAAAGTGATGAAAAAGAAAAGCCACTGAATCCCTCCTTAAGGGATGGCCATTTGATTAAATAGCCTCTATGCTTCACCAAATCACCGGTTCCACCTGAGATTGCCTCTGAAGATTTAGTTCCCCCCAACCCAACCCAAGACAGACACAAACAGAATCCAACAAATTACAAGGGGAGAGGAGAGCTACAGAAGCCTGCCCTTCATACTGAAAGTCTGAAACCACCTTCAGGCCATGCAGAGAACTGTGCACTGATATCAAGTGGTGGCACCGAGGTCTTACCAAACAGCCGAACAAAATGAATCTTACACAGAGAAAGCATATGGACAGTGGAAAAGCAAGTTGGGTGGCTGATTTGCAACCACTCTCTCATAGGGAGAACCAGTTCACCAACACCATACTTCTAGCTATAAGGTTATCTATGGCTTGGATCTTGTTAAGATCGCAGCCCATTTTAAAAGCACTACTTTCGAAGGGACACCTGACTTCCAAATCAGGCCCACCAGGAGGAAAAGAACTGATGCTTGCTACAAAGAATTCAGTTCCTCTACTTCCAAATACTGAATGTTTTGACTCAACCAAGGTGTCCACACCACTTGGTCACTGATGATTTGATAACAATTCCGCACCAAGGCATCCTTGTCACTTGTTAATTCAAAGATGTGAAGGAAATATTCTGTCAATAGTGAAGAACTATACTAGATATCTGGATAAGAATGTTGACATGTGTTTGTTGTGGGAGAATATTTGCAGTTGCCAAAAACCTAAGAATTTATGAACCAAGCTTTAAGAAGACATGCTACTTGGTAGAGTGGAATGGAAAAATTGGATCCACGTAGCCAGCCAGAATGGTTGGGTAGCTTTTGTTCATTGATTTATCAATCTAAGAATTTAAAAACATTCTGTTTGATTGTGCATTATCTTTGGTTGATTTGGGAGTTTTCCAGCATATCTTGATATTACAGATATGATATGCCATTAATATCACAATTTGATATTCCCGATACACATATTGATAATACCACATGATAAATTTTTAAGGTTGGGGTCTTCCCAATTTGACTTGTTTTTAGAGTTCAGAGAACAAGATCTTAATTTATGCATCTCACTTGGTCATCTTCATTTAATGCGGGGTATTGGCTTACCTCATTGCATTTGCTTTTACATAACACTGTAGCAGACACCTAATATTCACTCTGTTGTAGCAAAACTCAATGTTGCTGTCATCAGTTACGTGTGTTATCCTTCATAATACTGTATGCACACATTTCAATTCAATTGTTTTATCCTCCATATTTGCTTGTAGCCCTGTAGGATCTAGTATCTTGTAATCCTTAAATTTCATATGTTTGTGGTTTGAATTGGTATGCTTGCTGGTTTTTGACCCCCAGAGGATTTGTCCCTATCTTTGTGGACTTTTTTCTTGAACATCCACTTTTGTTTTCATTTGTTTTAACTGCATTAAAAACTTGTTCCTACTTTTCTTCTTTCAATTCTCTCTTCAATTTATTTTTCATTTTTTATTTCAGTTTGAGATCTGACATCCATTGTCTTTTTTATTGGAACAGGTATACAATGTGACAGATTATTTGGATGAGCACCCGGGTGGAGATGATGTTCTACTTGCAGCAACTGGTATCTCTATTTTTTTTTATAATCGTCTGCTGCCTCACATAGTAAAATAAATCTTGACCTAACTTTTGATCACGATTTTACTCAAGGGAGGGATGCCACTGAGGATTTTGAAGATGCAGGGCACAGTAATGACGCAAGGGAACTCATGAAAGCATATTGTATTGGGGAACTGGATCTTTCTCCTCCTCCTCCTATCGAAAAGGAAAAAGCAGGACTGATCCACAAGATCTGGGATGTTTGCACAATCCCATCTGCGCAGGATTATGCTATTCTAGCAACCATTGTTGGCATGTCTGTGGCAGCTGGCGTTTTTTATTTGCGCAGGAAGTAGAGCCATAAATTCCTTTTCTGGCATATACATTAAAAGAAATTTTGAGCTTTTGAGGACAGAATCAATCTGTCATTTGGAGAGGTTTCTCTTATTTCTTATTTCTTTTATTATTCTAAACATACGATCATAAGAGGATTTGGATACACCCATGCATGATGAATTTCTGCACTCCTCGAGTCTTGTCAAATGTCTTTGATAGATTACATTCTTCTTATTTTCTATTTAGGATAAAAACATAAATTAGTTTTCTTTTTTTGTTCATGATCATGCATGCAAATACGTTAGGCTTCTCCATTACCTGTGTTCATGCACATTGTTTGTTTTCCATTGGTTATTCTCAATAGATGTCTGATGTCTCACTGCACAAAGGAGGATAATTTGAAGATTAGAGACCACTTGGGAAGGTTTCTAGTAAAAGCATTGTCATTCCTAGGTTTATAATTGAAACTGGTGTCAATTAGCTATATTATACGTTGTTTGGCATCACTATATAATTTGCCTTGTCTAGTTGCAAGCATTTGGTTACGGACTAGCACATATACAACCAGGAGCGTGTTTTCTGTGTTTTTTGGTTTAAGAACTGATTTTGATTTGTTTTTGGTTGGAAGTCACAAGAAAAGCAATTTTGCATTTAAGAACAGTCCCTTAAGCTTTGTTTGGTTTGATAGAAAATGAGAGAGAAACAGAAGTTTGAACTTTGAAGTTTGGTTTGATAGAAACAGAGTGCAAACTAAGTGTTGGATGCAAATGCAAATTTCTCAGCTTGGTCAAATGCAGAATGGGAACCAAAGTTTGTATCAATTTTTTGGATACTAACTTTCGTTTTTTTATTTCAAAATTTTCCATGTAAATCAAGGTGCAACTTGGACAGGCTCGGTTTGGGCTTTTATCAAATGGTTACGGCCCAAAGGCTCAAGCCCAAAGTAATGTCTAATGCTGATTTCAGCCAATCCAAGTTGCACCCCTAATGGCTAATGCAAACACTGCAAATCCAAAACTGGAGGGTATGTTTACCCCAAGTCGGTGTTTGCACCACAAACAAACGAAGATTTATTTAAATATTTTCTCTACACTCATGAGATGTTAATGTACGTTCTGTTTTTGGCTTCCGATGAGCCAGCCTATTTTCAAATGATTTTCATGTCTCTTTATGTTGAAGAGGATGGATAACAATTTAATGATGGAATTTGCATGGTCTTAAAAAGCTTAAGCCTTTAAGGTTATGTTTGGTTTGAATTTTCAAATGATACCTTTCCCTACTTTTTCCTTCAAACCAGACACAGTTCAAGCTCAAGTGTGAGGCTTTCACCTTTTAAGTGGGGGTCTCAGATTTTGCCTTAAGGCTTGAGGCTTATATAACTTTAGTGTGAAGTTTAAGCTTTTGTTGGAAAGAGGTGTAAACCTCTATGCTCTACGACAATTGATTTATTTAATACAAAAAATTGTGTTATGTTTTTTCTTTTAGTTTAAAACATATGGGAGAGTACTTTGATAATTATGGGGCGAAAAAGGATTAAAATAATAGAATTCTTAATTTCTCTGTGTTTCAGACAAGTTACCTAAAGTAGCTTCAGTTTACTGTCATATTTCTTGCAATCTAAATGCCAATATCGGCTGTCAGGATTTTCACCAAACACAACTTTTATGAATTTTACATAGGCCCAGCTGAGAGAACGCAAGAAGCCACGTCCCAAACGGGCACTAAGTATTATTTACCATTTCTCGTATCTCGTGGAATGGTCTGTAAGCAAGACCTGAATAGTCTTTTCCTTTTCAGTAAGAACTCAGTCACTCTATATTATATTATGTAAAAAAACAAAAATTAAATGTTATAATAGAGTTGAAAGCAATAATGACAATAAATAGATTTATAAAAGAAAGAAAGAAAGAAAAAAAAAAAAGAAGCAAACTGAGGAGGAATGGAGAAGGAATAAAAATAGGTAAGCAGCACCAACTAGCAAGCCTCTCTATTTATTTAGAGTCAGTAGAGAAGAAATGGTTGATGGTGGGCATGATCTCAGGTGGACGCGTACGAAGGAACTTGCGGAGTCCATGTTCCGCATATTTCTCTCCTTCCTCGTAGTTCTCAAGCACTGCTGTTTTCCGATGGTCTTTGTTCACCCTGTATATTCCACCATTCATTTACATTTATTATTTTGGCAGAAAAATTTACAATCAATCAACCGGCTTCAGAAACATAAGGATGGGTTTTCATCAAAATTCACAAGGGCATGATGCCATTATAATTTAAAATTGTTATGCTATATACACAGCTCCTGTAAAAACATTGGCCTAAAATTTTAGGGTACCGTACATTTAGTTCATTAGTTCCTAATCAGAAGAATTAGAATTAAAATTGGAATCAAAATTTATTGGAATTAGAATCAGAATTCCTCCTGCCTGTTTGATTTAAATTGGAAATTAGAATCAGTTAGAATGGATTCTCAGTTCTAAGAAAGGGGGAGGGAATGGCTATTCGAACAAGAATGAAAATGAGATTCCAATTCTACCCCAACCAAACAGTTGGAATCATCCATTTCAATTCTGATTCCAGGCCTTTATTTCCCTGAACCAAACAGATTCTTAGTCCGGCAATCCAGACTTTGCTTAAAAGGTCCTATGGCATTCTAGTCTTGGCCTATGCCATTATCATAGGACAGTGAATGTAGCAGATCCAATTCTAAATTAGATTGTTAATATTTTGATTTGAATCAAATTCAGGGTCCATTTGGTTAGCAGTCGGAATGGGAATGAAAATTAAAATCAACAGGAATGAGATTTCATTCCCTCAAATGGGGGAATGCCGTTACAGCAGGAATGGGAATGGGATTCCGATTCCCAATCAAACAGTTGGAATCTAAATAGCCCATTCCAATTCCCGATTCCAGACCTCTATTCCTATGAACCAAACGGGGCCTCAGATTACAATAGAATGTTAAATAAAATTAAAAATAACCAAAATATTATGCCTTATTAATAAAATAAACTAAAAATGGCTTTTCATATTCTACTATTCCAACATAAACGCATGGATTAATAATAATACTGTTTGCAGCCCAACCATGCCAAGTAATTATCAGTATTCCAAGAGTGAACATGTCCTCACACAGCACTTACAACTGTGCATTCAAAACATGGTCCCTACTCCCTACTTCTTGTATATATGTTATCATTTATGGGGAGATATTGATGTTCTGTAAGGGAATTGGAATTGGGATTGGGATCTACTCCTCATACAGGATGCAGGGTGAGAAGTGCTTGTGAAGCACCATGCATGTGTGAGGAGAAGATACGATCTCGCAGTGAGGTTGGTATGAAGAAGATTTTGTGAGGAGCAAATCGATTTGTTTTGTGTGCAGTAAGTCTGTTATGACATGGCAATAAGACGCAGGCGTCTGCATGCCATCTATGAGTAGAAGAAGGAAATGTAAAAAGGTTACCTGACGTCGGGGTTGAGGAAGGCGTTCCTTGTGAGCTGAAAGACACACATGCTGGTTACGAATGTCATGGCCGCCATGAGCGGATACACCTATATCACATTTTGGACCGACTCAGCTCAACTCAAATCGGTTTCGGGGGTCATCAACAAAGGAGAAACCAAGTGCATGTACGTATCATCAAGCAGATCGAATTAATTTAATTAAGATGACGATGGAGAGAATACTCACCTCCGGTTTAATCCAACGTCCCATCTGAAGAATATATATGAAGAAGAACCAGAAGAGGAACACGAAGGAGATGATAATGATGGTGATCCGACGTCCTTTACTCTCCCAATGTAAATGTAAATTTTTATAAGCCTGCGCAGTTCATGTGCCAACTGCCAAGCTGCTATTATCTATATATATAGATAATAGCGAGCGAGAGATATTGTTATCGTGGATGAGTCGTAGCATCTAGCATGGCGGGGTTGACAAGCCCACGCTGGCGCCTTTAGCCTTAGCCTTTTCTCCATCTCAAAACAGTGGGCTGATGGGTTGACTATCACCTTAACTTATCCAAAACCGGGTGCATAGCCTCTGGTTTTAATTGCTTGAAGCGCGCTCCTCCTCTACCTCTTCCAATTTAGACTTTGAACGTTTTTCAACATTTTACAACTTGATGATCCTAGTAATTACTTGTATTTTTCTATATATAATATAATTATCCCGCCTATCCCTTACATTAGTTTTGTTCTTCTTTGCGCGTTTAAGATTAATTAATTGATTACATTACATTAATTACTCTGAAAAATTCGACTCCCCAACCCCACGAGCCGTTAGTTGACACCAACTTTTTGGAATAGAATGAATCACTCTCAAGTCTTCTGGAGTCTAGACCTACACCCGCATTGCTGGGTCAGGCCATCCAGACTAGATAATCGGTCAAACACTCAATTTTTTTTTTAAAAAAAAAGGTTTTTTTCGATCAACAATTTGGCTCCTTTCTTGTTGGTAAAATGGACAGTTGGGATGGAAAAAAAAAAGAAAATCAGAACTTCGACCTCCCAACCCAAGGCCGAATGCCCTCACAGCCAAGTGCCAACCAATCGCCTAGGGAATCGGGATATGAGAATTTGAATTTATTATTAAAACTTCCTACCATTACTCGACCATTAATCTCTCCTCCACCCAAAATATTGCTCGCTTCATGCATGTAATAAAATGTACAAGGAAAGTATTTAAAGTGAGCCATTGGTTATTTTGGTTTGTTTAGAATTAAATTTACTTTTTTTAAGGATCATTTACTTGAATCTAGATTTCCTGTCCACACAAACTCTGCCCATGTACCCATATAACATCATAATCATACGTACAGAATATCTCATCCTCCTACATGATGTTATACAAAAGGAGATGTTTCCAATTCATAAAGGTAGTGTGTTGTAAGTAGATATAGGCAGAGTTCTCGTGGGCAGGTGATCTGGATACTTAGACTTAGATTGGAAATATTATAAATACAAATATATATATATATATATATATATATATTATAAATTAATACATATAAAATACAACGTTTTGCACTCTACTTATTTGTATTTATACTCTTCCAAACTAAGGCATTAAACACCCACTGTGGTTTTGTTCATATATCTATTAATTTGGATTTTACTAAAACAACTCCTATAGTTGAATCTGCTTTACTTGACCCAACCTTCTGTTCAGATCCGCCTTTTGTAATTTATGCGGGAATAGTTATTTAGTGCTTTAGTGAGTGAAGCGGTCAGTCCTTCAAGCTCTGAGGAGGGAATTTGAGACTCTCGAAATGAAATCAGGTGAATGTGTTACTAAATATTTTGGTAGAGTTATGTCAGTAAGTAACAAAATGAGATTTCATGGGGAGCAAATGCGTGATGTCACCATTGTTGAGAAGATTCTTAGGTCCTTGACTGACACACTGACACACTCACCATCGATGAATTACAAAGTCCATTAATTGTACATGAACAAAAGTTTCACAAGAACAATGGGGAGGAGCAAGCTCTAAAGGTGACCACAAATGAGGGAGTTGGAACAAGAGGACGTGGCAGAAACAACTATAGAGGAAGGGGAAGAGGCAGAGGACGTCAATCCTTCAATAGAGCCACAGTGGAATGCTACCGATGTCATCAACTCGGCCATTTTAAGTATGAGTGTCCTACATGGGACAAGGAGGCCAATTATGCCAAGTCGGATAAGCATGAGGAAATGTTGTTGATGGCTTACGTAGAAAGGCATGAAGGAAAACATGATGATGTATGGTTTTTAGATTCGGGCTGCTCAAATCATATGTGTGGAGATGCTATGATGTTCAGTGAATTAGATGAGAGTTTCAGGCAGCAAGTAAAACTCGGGAATAATTCCAGGATGACAGTAAAAGGAAGAGGAAATGTCAGACTACAGTTGAATGGTCTCAACCATGTCATCACAAAAGTCTTCTACGTGCCAGAGTTGAAGAATAACCTTCTGAGTATCGAACAGTTGCAGGAGAAGGGGCTAGTCATTCTCATTCATGGCGGAATGTGTAAAATCTATCATCCAGATAGAGGTCTAATTATTCAAACTRCTATGTCAGCAAATAGAATGWTCATCTTGCTAGCCAATACACAAGAGAAGAAGGAGGCATGCTTTCACACAAGTGCACAAGATCTCTCTGACTTATGGCATCGCAGATATGGCCATTTAAGCCATAAAGGTCTCAATACCTTGCAAACCAAGAATATGGTACGTGGACTGCCTCATCTTACTCTTACTACTATGGTGTGCACTGATTGTTTGAACAGAAAGCAACACCCAAACTCCATTCCTAAGAAGAGTGCATGGAGGGCAACCCAAAAACTGCAGCTCATACATGCAGACATATGCGGCCCAGTGAYTCCCACATCAAATAGCAAGAAGAGGTATGTCTTATGCTTTATTGATGACTTYAGTAGAAAAGCATGGGTTTACTTCTTAGTTGAAAAATCAGAAGCTTTGAATTCATTTAAATGCTTTAAGAAACTTGTTGAGAAGGAGACAGGCATGTATATCAAGTGTTTACGCACTGATAGAGGGGGTGAGTTCAACTCAAAGGAATTCAATGAGTTTTGTAGACAGTGTGGTATCAAAAGACAGCTTACCAATGCATACACTCCACAACAGAATGGAGTGACCGAGCGAAAGAGCCGAACAGTGATGAATATGGTTCGTTCAATGCTCTCATAAAAGAAGATCCCCAACACCTTCTGGCCTGAGGCAATGAATTGGGCCATATACGTGCTAAACAGAAGTCCTACAGTGGCAGTCAAGAACATCACTCCTGAAGAAGCATGGCCGGTGTAAAACCCATAGTGGAACATTTTAGAGTCTTCGGGTGTGTGGCACATGTTCACGTGCCAGACGCCAGGAGAACTAAACTAGAGAACAAGAGTTCAAGATGCGTGCTTTTGGGAGTTAGTGAGGAGTCGAAGGGCTACAGACTGTATGATCCAGTGGCTAAAAGGGTGGTGACTAGCAGAGACGTTGTATTTGAGGAAAATAGACAGTGGGAGTGGGACACTAGCTATGGGGAACAAGTGTTGGTAGATCTTGAGTGGGGTGATGACAAGAATGACACAGATGATGAGCATGAAGCAGAAGGTGATGAGAATCTTGAAGCTGCTAGTGAAGAAGAACCTGTGGGAGATGAAAATCATGCAGCCGAGAGAGTTGTATCTAATCCAGTGAACACAGGAAGGTCTGATGTTAGAGAAAGAAGGGTTAGACAGGCTCCTATTTGGATGGAAGATTACGTCAACGGTGAGGGACTATCCGAGGAAGAAATTGAGCTCAATATGGCTCTTGTTGCTTCTACAGATCCCATCAACTATGAAGAGGCAGTGAAGAGCTCAAAATGGAGATTGGCAATGGATTCGGAGATTAACTCAATTGAAAAGAATCAGACCTGGAAACTTACTGACTTGCCAGCTGGTGCCAAAACCATTGGAGTAAAATGGATTTATAAAACGAAGTTGAACGAACTTGGAGAAGTAGACAAGTACAAGGCTCGGTTGGTAGCTAAGGGTTACTCTCAACAACAAGGGGTAGACTTCACTGAAGTATTTGCTCCAGTAGCTCGTATGGATACAGTGAGGATGATAGTGGCACTTGCGGCGCAAAAAGGTTGGAAGATTTACTAGTTGGATGTAAAATCAGCATTTCTCCATGGTGAACTCAGTGAAGACGTGTATGTGGAGCAACCGAAGGGCTATGAAAAAAAAGGGAGTGAGCATAAGGTGTATAAGCTGCATAAAGCTTTGTACGGTCTAAAACAAGCTCCACGAGCTTGGTTTAGCCGTATTGAAGCTCATTTCATTAGTGAAGGCTTCCAGAAGTGTCCAAATGAGCAGACTTTATTCACCAAGAGGAGCAGTGAAGGTAAAATATTGATAGTAAGTATTTATGTGGATGATCTGATTTACACTAGTGATGATGAGGATATGATGTCTGATTTTAAGAATTCTATGATGAAAGTTTTTGACATGACTGATTTGGGAAGGATGAGATTCTTTCTTGGCATTGAAGTGTTACAGAGACCGGATGGCATTTTCATCTGTCAAAGGAGGTATGCCACTGAAGTGTTGAAACGTTTTGGGATGTTTGAGAGCAAGTCAGTAAGCAGCCCCATTGTGCCAGGTTTCAAAATGGGTAGAGATGATCATGCAGTCACAGTGGATGAAATGTATTTCAAACAAATGGTGGGGAGTTTGATGTACCTCACGGCAACTTGTCCAGATATAATGTTCAGTGTCAGTTTGATCAGCAGGTACATGGCTAAACCCACTGAACTTCACTTACAAGTTGCGAAAAGGATTTTGTGATACTTGAAGGGCACTGCAAACTATGGGATTTTGTATAAGAAGGGAGGGGAAGAAGAAGAATTGCTTGCTTTCACGGATAGCGACTATGTAGGTGATATAGAAGATCGTAAAAGCACGTCTGGCTATGTGTTTCTTTTAAGCTCAGGCTCAGTATCATGGCTGTCCAAAAAACAACCCATAGTTACGTTGTCAACCACTGAGGCGGAATTCGTGACTGCTGCTGCATGTGCCTTCCAGGCAGTATGGATGAGAAGAGTGTTAAAAAGGTTGAGTCATGAACAGAAGGGTTGCACCACTATCATGTGTGACAATAGTTCAACGATCAAGCTTTCAAGAAATCCAGTTATGCACAGAAGGAGCAAGCACATTGATGTGCGGTTTCATTTCTTGAGAGATCTTACAAAAGATGGTAAAATTGAACTAATTCACTGTGAAACTCAGGAGTAGGTGGCTGATTTGATGACGAAGCCGTTGAAGTTAGAATCATTTCAGAAAGTCAGAAAG